TTTTGGGCTATATATTTTTCTCTGAAATTCGGAAGTTTGTTCAATTAGCAAGTCAGTATATTTTTTTCTGTTTTTGGCTCTTTTCAAACTGTCTGTCGGCTATGTTTAATAGCTACGCTGAAAAGTTAGGGCAACTTTTGTTACTTCTCTGAAAACTAATATCATTTAGTGAAATTTAATAGGGCTTCGGTTTAAAGTGTGCTTTTTGTTACTTGATTTTTACTACCCCACTTTTCTGAATAAGTTATCTGGCAGAACGTTACTATGTAATCAACCTATTGTTGTTTCGACCAATCTGAGGGGCGGTAAGTAATTTCAGCTTTAATACTTTTACACACAAATAAACCTCGATTGGGGGCAAGTGTGTGAACGGTTCCAACGATTTTAGTCCTGGTTCAGCTTCCAAAAAAAATTTATGAACAATTTCTCGGCTTTGAAAAGACCCCTGTTTTTTAGAAGTAATTTCAACAGAATAGTTTTGATTTTTTTGGCTTCGGTTTTCAGTTTTTTACAAGCAGAGTTCAAACATCGTAACTGAATTTTATTGTTTTTTGTTTTAATTTGAAGGATTTTCAACGCCTTGCTATTAGCAAGCAATATCATGACCGAATATAGACTTGTTTTCAAGTTGACAATTTGTTAAACAAAAAACACTTGGTAGTTTGCTGTATTACCCTTGCAATACTATGCAGATGTGGAAACTGTAACATCACAAACAAGATAAAACTAAACTGATGAACTTGAATCTGAATGCGAACCCTTGAGAACTGTCTCTAAATCTTTTACGACTACAACTACTACTTATAGCAAGGGTATTGCAATTGGGTACTAGACTTTTTGTTCCCGTAAACAACTTTGTCCACAGGACTCATTGAACTGGTGGTACCTTGGTTCGTAATGAATGCAAAATTTGTATAGTTTCTCTTGCATACTTAGCCTAGTGGTAACGAATGCGCCTGGAACGCCAAAGGTCCGCGGTTCGATTCTGACCAGGAGTAGTTTTTCAAACGGTAATTGTTCCTGTTCTAAAAAAATTTCCGCCTTTTATTTGTCTGCTTATGTTTGTCGGCTTAGTTGCCACATCTAAGAATCGTTTATTTTAGCTATAAACAGTTTTAACTGCAGTTGTTTTTAGCTTTTTAGAAATCCGGCCGATTGGAAATTTGCTTTTCACGTCCGAAAAAAGTTTTTGTGCGCGTGTGTGTACTCTGCCTGGAAAAGGGAGTTTTTCCGAATTTCTTTTCGGCATGAAGGGTTTCTGCTCAGTTTTTTTTCGGCTTTTGTACCGCTTGGTAATTATAAATTCAAATCCAATCAACCATCTGGTGTAGAAGTAAAACAATTGCTTGAGATGGCAAAGATTTTAGGTTCGAATCTGGCCAAGACTTTTTTTTGCAAACAAGAGTTTTTGTGCTTTTTCGGATTATCGTCCGTCTGATTATTTTTGTCGGCTAGTTCCCTTATCTCGATGGTTCAGCTTTATTCCAAGTTGTTGTAAGCTCCTTGCGTGAGTCGAAAAAGCCCGCGCATTCGGTTCTAGTTGAGACTTGTTGTTCTGGCAAATAGAATATTTTGGCTATTTGAATTATTGTCTGTCTGTTTATTTTTGTCTGCTTAATTCCGCAGAAAATACTTTTTTGAAAACTTGGCGTCTTATAGCATTCCTTAAGCTCTTTGCAGAGTTTGTAATGTTGCTCGAAGTTTTTTTCCGGATGTTTTGGGCGTTAGCAATTTTTATTAGCAAAAACATTTTTTGAATTTTTTTGTTTGTTTTTCATAACATTCATATTTGTATCGCAAGTGGTGCGAAGCTCAGCTTCGCCTCTGTGTAGTAGATTCAAATTTCTTCGGCACCCGTAAGCTAGAGGTAGCGAGTAAATCTGAGCCAACAAAAGTATTAAATCCTTACTCAAGCGAAGCTATGTGCATGCACATTTTGCTAGTCTGTTTTTCATTTTACCCCACCTTCTACGGCCTTCGAAAATTTCAGAAGGGTGATTTTTGACCTATTGGTTTTGATTTTTTTCACTTTCTCCAACATTAAATCCACAATTCTGCGATGAAGGAATAAATCGAAAGGACAATTCATGGGGATTTCCCCCTCTTAAGCGGTCATTCCCTAAATTCGGTAGAAAAAAGTTATGGTCTCAAACAAGCACATTTTTGACACTTTGAAAGCGTTTCTCAAAAACTACCCGGCTAAATAAAAAAAAACGATTATGTGAATCTTTCCTGAGTCTTCTAACCGGCTAAATAAAAAAAACGGTTTTGTGAATCTTCCCTGCGCAAGCGGCTATGCCCTGCGTTTTGAAAAAAAATGTGGCCTTAGAAAACGTCCATTTTTAGAAATTTTGTCAGTTTTTTGGACACTTTTTTAAAAACAAACCTGCTGTTTCGGAGATTGATAGTTTATTTAAGTAAACAGGTAGCTTAGAGCTTCCTTGCGTAATCTGTTTCACCCTATCTTTATGCAGAAAAGCCGATAGGGACTTCGGGACAATCCATTTTTTGAATTTTTTACCGTTATTTTCATTACTCTTCTCGAAAACTAGTAACTAAATCTGATATGGAGGGTTCAATCTGAAAATCAGGTCGTGGAAATTTGCACTACGCAAGATTTTATTCCCATTCTTTAGTAGAGAAAAGCTAATTGATTTAGGAAAAGTCAAATTTTAGATTTTTGATCGTTCTTTTTGTAATATTTTTCACTTTTTTGAAAACTACACGCGAGTAGTAGCTCTCTATTTTAAATAAGAGGCTAATCTCATACCTTAACAGAGAAATCACAAGAGTTTTGCGTAAAGTCCGTTTTTTGACGTTTTGAAGATCACGCATTTCCGTATCAGTACAAAATATGATTACCCTTGCGATAAGCAAGGGTATTGCTAGCGGGTTAGACTTTTTCCCGTGAAAAACTTTGTCCACAAGACTCATTGGACTCATGGTGGTACCTTGGCTCATAATGAATTCAACTTTTGTAGTTTCTCTTGCACACTTAGCCTGGTGGTAACGAATGCGCCTGGTACGCCAAAGGTCCTCGGTTCGAATCTGACCAGGACCAGTTTTATTCAAACTGTAAATATTCCTGTTCAAAGAAAATTTCGGCCTGTTATTTGTCTGCTTGTGTTTTGTCGACTTAGTTTCCACTTCTGAGAAATTGTTTTTTTTGCCAAAAAACATTTTTTTGCAGTTGTTTTTAGCATTTTAGAAATGCGGCCGAATCGAAGTTGAATCTCCTATAGGAGGTTGTAATTTCACTTGTTTTTTCATTTTTTTTGTCTTTTTATCGACTTAATTTTTTTGGGCTGAATTAATATCGCCTTATTGGCCTCTTATTGCTTCTCGTTAAGGCCGAAAAAAGTTTTTGTTCGCGTGTGTGCTCTGAGGGGAAAAGGGACTTAATTTTTTTATAGCTTTATTTTTTTTTGAATTTCTTTTCGGCATGAAGGATTTCTGCCGAGGTTTTTTCGGCTTTGTTACCGCTTGTCAATTATAAATTCAAATCTAATCGCCCATTCGGTGCATCTGTATAGAGGTGAAACAACTGCTTGAGACGGCAAAGGCTTGCGGTTCGAATCCGTCCGGGCCCTTTTTTTGCAAAATAGAGTTAATGTGTTTTTCGGACTATCGTCCGTGTTTTTTTGTCAGTTTGCTTCCCGTAGATAGGTTGTCCAGCTTTATTCCAAATTACTGTAACGGTCATGTGACGACGAAGTCCGGGAGTTCGATTCCTGTTGAGGCCTGTTTTTCTTGCACGTTGTCTGCTTAGTTCTACAGAAAGATCTACAGGAAGTTCTACAAGACATCAAAATCAAAGAAAAGTGCAATCTCGGGCCTGCAAAAGTTTAGCGATTGAGCGGAATTTTGAACTACGAATGTATGGTATCCTGGCAGGCGCCGTGGTTTCCCATGCTTAAAATCGTTACTATAGTTTGGAGAGATAAATCTAACTATCTATCTACACATTATTTAATTGGCGTTTCACGTGACACATGTTTAAGAAATCCCAATGTTGGCATTTTTAAGCTTTTTCAACGAATTGTTTTTTGCATGTTTAACGAACGAATTTTATATCGTATATTGTAATGCTTAAGAAATTTCATTTGGCACATATTTAAGAAGTTCCTATGTTGGTTTGTTAAAACCAAACATTGCAAGGGTTGAAACGTTTGATCAAGTCGAAGTTTAATCTGCTTTAACTCTACGTTTTCCCTATATTCGCAATATAACATTTTTGTTAAACTTAATTTGAAATTCTCAACCTGTAGTGATGGCACTTTCAGGTTATTCTTAGTGGTTGCAAATCTGGCGTCCAACTATGCTGGCTCAAATCTTTTTTAGTTTTCGAGATATGGCTTTTTTATTGTTTGATTTTTTTTCAAAAAAGTTAGAAATAAAAAAAACCAAACAAACGTGTGTAGTGTGCTGTCAGGGTACACTCAGGGGTTGCAAATGTAGCGTCCAAGTATGACGGCTCAAATTTTTTTTGGCGTCGTATACCAAGTTGTTGGGAAATTTTATCAATAGTCATGCCTGCCCACCCACACAGCGGCGAAGGCACTTCCCTTTCAAATTTGGGTGACAAATAGCGTTGGCCAGGTCGGATTGGGTTCTTTTGGATTGTAAGCGGGATGCATTTAGTGCATTATGATTCAAATTCATTTTGATGCATAATCATGATGAATTACTTCTCAATTATCTTTTCTTTTCTTTTATTGAACACATTTTTGGTTAAAAATGTTGCTTGTGGTGGCCAATTTTTCCCATTTTAGATTATCTATTTTTTGTTAACTGGGTGGGGGTACTTACTCAGCTATAACTTGGAACTTAATGTTTAAGCTTTTTAAGTAATCAAAGAAACGGTACAATCTCGGGCCTGCAAGAATTTGACGATTTTGGAACTAGGAATTAAGGAGGCATGTTATTCCATGCCTAAAATTGTTCCTATGCTTTGGTGAGATAAACATTTTTGATTTGCTCATTTATTATTTCAGAAAACTATGGCGTCCAGAGGAGCTGCCAAACGTCCAGAAGGTACAGACGGCAGTGACTACCAGAGCAGAACTGTGATCGCCAACAGATACTTAGCCAGTGCGAAAGCCAAATCCAGAATGAAAATGTTCATCTTCGCTCATTACATTCTACACGTCGTCACTGTCTCAATCATGATGCTATGTAAACACTTGGAAAAAGACCAGGCCAAAATTAACCAGAACCCCTTTGTAATATCGCCCTGGTTATTAGTCTGGCTAGGCAGTAGTATACCGTGTGGATTAGCTTACATTTCACTTTCAAAGAACAAACTAGCTCTGATTATAGTTTATGTCTGGGGTTCGATTTTTCTCGGATTTTGTCCGTTAGCAATGGCGTTATACCAGCTGTTTAACACGAAGCACGATCCTGCTAAGATGATATTCATATTAGACGTGGTGGCGCTGCCTATCGCCGAGTTGTTCATTTGTGTGCTGGGGTGTATGGTCCAGTTGGGAGGTTTCATCAACGCCAAGATCCTCAGGGATGCCTGGATGTCGAGGAAGGAATCGTAAAACTGAACATCTGAAATGATCTCGTGCTTGTCAGTTTCGATATTTCCAGCCTGTTATTTCTTGTAATTTAGATATAATTATGTAATTGTAAAATGTGCCGTTAGGTTTGGTAAAAAATTGTGAAAACTTGGTTTTCTACTTTTATCAAACGGTTTTCTACTTTTATCAAACGAAGAATTTGGTTTTTAAGCTATCGTAGAAACCATAAAAGTTATAGAAACTGTATGCAAGATAATGATGTGACTTGTCTAATTTCAGAAGTGAGCCATGGTTCTCCATGACAATGACGACTTCCTCAATCTGTTGCCCTCTTTGTTTGAAGACAGCCGACAGACGGGTTCGGTGGTGATCACAATGAAAAAGTACGATGGACACACCAAACCCAAACCCTCTGCCACCAACAAATACCCTCACGGAGCCCCCGAGTCTGCTGTGTTGTCATGTTTAATCAGAGCAAAGACGCCCAAAAAGAAGATCAGCACTGTAGTTCTGCCCAAGGACGTGAACAAGTTTCACATGCAGTTTGGAACTATTTTGAAAGCTAACATGGATGGACTCAAAAAAGCCCCCCGGCCGAACAAGGCTAAGGCCACCCACTGAGAACTGATTTAATGTTTTCTCAGATAAATTCATATCTTTATTATGATGTATTTCGTTTGTGTATGTGTGCAATAGCGCGACAATTTTGTCCACCAGTATCTTTAAAATTGCCGTCGGTGCGGGAAAAATATGCTTATTGTGCTTATTGAACATATTTTTTCCCATTCCTAAGATCAGATGTTCGGAAATGCCTTGGTTACATTAAATGAAAACTGATCGTAATATAAAGAAAAGCTCGATAATGGTTTTGTTTAATCTGATTTTTTGTCCGTATGATTGTAAAATCCTATTCAAATAGTTCTAATTATTAATTTTGTTTTTACGTAGATGATTAAAAAATGAAATTTATCTTTCTTTCAGTTGGTCACGCTTTTTTCGATTTAGTTTCCTTGAAGTTTTAGGGTTCAGTACAAGAGAACCGAAGTACAAGTGGGCCGAAAATTTGATAATGTTTTTAGAGTGCCGAAAAGTTTTTTCAGCACAAAGTTTTACAAGGACTAAAAATGAAGCTGTAAGAACTAAGTGCAATAGAAGGGACAGCGAAAAAATGAATACTGTAGTTATGACTGGAATCAATAAAATAAACAAACTATTCTCAATTAGCGTCATAGATTTTGTTAAATGTATACAATTACTCCAGCAATTAACAAAATTTTCTTCCGTTTTGTGGAAAACTCCGAAGTTAAACTCATTGAACTTAAAAAATTCTGAAGTTAAACACATTAGAAAATTGAAAAGAAGCTCATTAATTCAACGACAGCTCATTTCCGGCTTTCTGAAACACTTATTTAGCTTTCGGAACTGTTGTACTTCGGCATTTTTGAACACCCCCAGTTTTAGCAGCGGGTTTTATCCCGAGCGCAGTTTGATTATCCAAGACCAAACAATAGTTAATTTTCATCCATTTTCCAAGTTAACCAATAGACTAGACCCACGAATTAGACAAGCGAGCTATATAATTATCCTTAATTAGTCAGTCAAACCAATATAACGAAAAATGATGCGAGTTTGAATCTGTCACTAATACACGTTTGGATATTAATACTAAAATCGCACACGATCTAGTAGCAAAGGTTTTGTGCGGTTTTTAAGAGCCTAGGTTTGTCTATAGACGAGGTGTTAACAAAAAAGAGTACCCGGTTGCTGTGCAGACAAATCCGACCAAAAATTCCGCCCACAACGAAAAAACAACTTTTTTTAAACCTTGCGATAGGCAATGGTATTGCAATCGGGTAACAGAGTTTTTCCCGTAAGTAACTTTAAGCACAGATTGGTCAAAATTAGAAATGCTAAATTTAGGTTCAGTTCTGAATAAATTCAATTTTTTTTGTGTCTGGCGCACATGGTCTGAAGGTAACGAATACTCCTGGGACGGCAATAGTCCTGCGTTCGAATCTGACAGGATCTGTTTATTTTTCAAACCGGAAGTTTTCCGTTTCACAAAAAAATTGTCGGCTCATTATTTGTCAAATTTTATTTTGTCTAGTTGCCGGATTTTATAATTTTGTTACATTATAGTTGCTTTTAGTGTTCTGATTTACCTCGGATATGTGTAATTTTGCTACCCTTGACTTTTTGTTTTCTTTTTTTTTTGCTTAAAATTTTTATTCTGCCCAAATGATTTCGCCCTGTTTTTCATCAGCTTAGTAACCTAATTTCGATTCGTTTTAAGGAAAGCTAAAATTGTATCCTCACCTCTGGATCGCACAAAATGCTAAAAATTTTAATAGAGATTCTAGTTCAAGTTTTTCATGACAACTGTTTTCGGCTTTGGTTTTTTTCTTTTCCTTTTCTTTTGGCTTGACAGGTTTTGGCTTATGTGATGTCGTTTTAAAGGCCATGTTGCGTCTTTCGACGAGCGAAAACAATTTGTGTGTGCGTGTCTATGTTTTTAGGGTTAAGGGGAATTATTATCTTAAGTCTTGTTGATTTTTTTTCGACCTGAAGGGTTTCTGACAAGGTATTTTTCGGCTTTGTTACCGTTTTGTAAAGTTTCTTCCGATGCTTATTTTACATTCCATTGTATTGGCATGTTTTTAAATTGACGTTTTCGTTTTTTTTTTCGATTTGTTTTGGCTTTCTTGTTTTTTATTGCAAGTTTTGTATCGCAAATTCATTTTCGAAGCGTATTTTCTTTCAAAATGTTATACAGTATGTTAATTTTTTTATTTCAAAGCTCCTTTTTGCCGTTCTTAATTGTTTTTCCGAAGTGCTGAATACTTCGATGTCTTACGTCTGAGATTATGATATCGATATAATTCAGATATTTTTTTTCCGAGAGCAAAAAAAACCGAAGATTTTTTTATTGAAGAAGTCGAAATCGAAGAAGTCGAAGTCGGTCTAAAGTGAATAACAACCCCACTCTATAAATTTTTTTCTTTGAAAATGGTGTAAAGTGGTTGCGAATTTCAGAGAAGCTATCAGCAGGGCTTACCAGGCCTGTTTAAGGGTAGTTCGTTGGTATGATTTTCCTTTCCAGACTGAGTTTGTATGTTGAGCTAAGCACTTGTTTGCTACTCAGGGCCGTTTTTTTTTTGCATCTAGAAATTTCGCGTGGTACCACTTTAGCAGCCGAAATCGATCAGGCTGTAGTAGAATTGAAGCAAGAGATCCAGTGTGAGCTCGTCCTCACAAATAATCATTGACGTGACAGGGATCAAACTTTCGATCTGACGTTTTATGAGTGAACGTCTCACTAATATGATCAGTGCATGAAGTCAGAACAATCAAACGATAAAATCTTTCGATTTTGGTCTGATTGTAAAATCTCAATCCGATATTTAAAAAAAACGAAAACAAAAAAGTTATTAATGAATAAGTTCTATTGAAATCGATAGAATTGATTCAATTTGAAAAAAATTGGTTAGTTAAAATTTTTGTCTTATATTTCCATATTTTTTGCTAAGGATGTCGAAATCTCTTTTTGTTTGACATCGCATGGACTGTCTACATGGTCTTTCAGTTAGAATGGTTTTTTGAAACGTCTATAACTTTAAAATGGAACATTGGATTTAACTGATTCTTTTTACATTTATTATGTAACAGATTAATATTTTTGAACACGTACATTAGAGTTATAATAACTGCTGGAAATGTCCGCCATTTTCTTGAAAACAAAGATGTAACCGCTTCTCAAAATTTGTTGCTGCTTTCACTCCCTGTGCCGGAGTTATTGTTCCTCAAGCGTTCTCCACAGTTTGCATAAGATTTGGGACTGCCTGGGGGTTTGCATCAAATATCATTTTACCCAAATGACCCCATAGCCAAAAATCCAATGGATTCAAGTCCGGGCTTTGGGGTGGCCAAGGAATTGCACTAATCCTGCTTATAATCCTCGCGCCAAGTCCTGCGTTATTCCAGTTCCTTTGCGATTGGAAGTCGCATTGGGTGCTTGATAATCTTCTTGAAAATTTCCCTATACACGAAAAAAATGATGACCTTTCAATCTTGTGCTTTCAAGGGGTGTGATATTGAAGTCCTGGATATATTGCCGGCGAAATAGGTTGGGTTGTTTAGTCTTGCAAATAATGTGTTTCTTTTGCGCAACAGTAAAAGGCATAGTGAACATTCAAACACGTAGAAAAGACTAACTGCATATGCTTACTCAGCCTGTGTGAACATGTTTTGTTAGACGTGTGATTTTCCCGCTGTAAATTTTCCCACGTGTTCAAAATTAATATTACTCTAATGTACGTGTTCAAAAATCTTAATGTTATATAATAAATGTAAAAAGAATCAGTTAAATCCAATGTTCCATTTAAAAGTTATAGACGTTTCAAAAAAACCATTTTAACTGAAAGACCCTGTAGTTAATGTATTCAGAAGAATTCCTGAATCAGTTGCAATTTTTAATCGCGATCGCATTCTAAATTTTCTTCGGAAAAATCATTGTCAAATAAATTTCTCCACTACATATCTTATTTTCTGCAAACTTGAAGCTTCTATTTTTGAGGTTTTTTTCTGCGAATTGTAAACGTAGTTTTGTTGATTATGCTCTTCGATTAAATAGTTTTCGTCGTAAAATTCATGAGTTTTGTTGTCTTTTTTCTTAGTTTTGATAGCGGGTCAGGTGTCAACGGGAACTGTGTCGCAGGTTAATATTTCCTCTTTTCAAACGTTATTCATGTCAATGCTTTGTCTGGTAATTAAAGTCTGATAATCACTTCTCTGTGGCTTCGTTTTCTGTCTGAAACATTCGTTTTAAAAATTGATTTCTTGTCTGTCGATTGAGTTGTTAAGTGGTGGTCAATTTCAATCTGAACCACGACGTATTTTGCTTGATAGAAATACATAATAGTGTCTGGATTTTCAATTAAGGTCAATGTATAAGCCACTGTCATTCTTAATCGACAATCTTAGAAATTTTTTCTAGGGTTTTTTGAATTAGATAAAATTAGACTTGTTTTTTTTTTGTTACAAATTAGCGCTTGAAGTTTTTAAAAGATATCAGTAGTTTATATTCTATCGGCCAAGTTCTGTCGCCCATTTTCAAATGTCTTCTGTATACGCATTTTCACATGCGAGAGCGACTCTTCTTTGTATCCTACGCATGCCATTTTTGTTCATCAGTTCAAAAACAAACGAAATTTGTGGGCAAAATGTGATGATAATTGAGTATTACAGCCATATGTAAATTTGTATGATAGTGACACTGTGTAGGCAAACGTTGAAAGCACTAAAAAGGACATATGGAGTGGAGAACGGTAAAAGAGACGCAAAAACAAGTGACTCGTAATTGCGAACAAGACTTTTTCCCGTAAACAATTTTTCTTACAAATCTGTAAGAATATGACTTTGCTTTTTCATGGAACTTCAACAACTTCCATCTGTAACTTCACAGTATCTGACCGTTTTTTGTATACTTTTTGACTTTTCTCGAAAAATACCCACTCAAATCGGATATTTTTGTTTCAACCAAAGATCGAGATGTGGTAAGCTCCTATGCTTAAATTTGCTTGACGCTAAGTTTATTGACCTCGGAAAAATCAAATGTTTGATTT